CAGCGAATAAATTCGTATCGAATCGAATTTATTCCGCAAATTCGGCGAATCAGCCGAATCGAATTTTTGAATAATTTGCTCATCTCTACTCTTCACATTAAATGTTTTAGCACTGTAAAATATAGCTTAATGTGAATAACTTTTGGTGTGATTTACCAAATGACCTGAAATTTTCAGAATATGTTGCCATAGATAGAGTCTTCTAATGTGTGAAGTTTGGGAGAGATTGGTCAACATCTAAGCTCTTTTTTGTACGTTAAGCTACATTAAGCTCCCCAAAAAACAAGCTTAATGTCCCCCATTTTCTTTGTGGAAGTTCAAGATCTATGAAACTAGGACATTGTTTGGGACATTGAGAACTTGGGCTGTGCAAAGTTTCAAGTCAATTGATTAAGATTTAAACAGTTTATTACACGTTAAGCTACATTAAGCCATTTTCACATTAAATGTTTTAGTCTGTCCCTCTTAAGTCTACCATTTGCAATCCTAATGGACAGATCCAAGAATGATATCTCACTGGCATCTACCACATAGGTTAGCATAATATTACAGGAATTATTCTCAAGTTCCTCCATGAACCTCTACAACTCACATAAAGTGTCATTCCACAGCATCAAAACGTCATTGATGTACCTCAGCCACAAAGATACATCGCTGAGGTACATCGACAGAGTTTACACTGCTTCCTCCTCCCACCGTCCAAGATGGAGGCAGGCATACGCTAGGGCCCAATGGGCCCCCATAGATGTACCTCTAATCTGCTGGTAATTCACACCACCAAATTTAAAGAAGTTTTTATACAGTGCCATCTCTAATAGTCCAATAATTAATTCATTTTGATCACCCATAAATAGGAAAGATGCATCCAGAAAGTGAGACACTGCTGCTTCCCCCATTCATGTGGTATAGACATATACAACGACTCAAAGTCAATGCCAATGAGTAATGTTCCTTCAATCACTCGGATCTGCTCAATTTTATCAAGGACATCTTTAGTATCCTTTACATATGACAGTAGACAGACTACCATATCTTTAATCAGAGAGTCGATATACTTACCGACTCTCTCTAACGGGCCTTTAACGTCTGAGATGATAGATCGGCCTGGGGGGTTATTAGCGTTCTTGTGTATCTTCGGAATAACATAAAAGGTAGGGGTATTGAATTCCCCCACACTTACATACTCCAACTCTCTTTTGGAACTCAAGCTTGCCTCACAGGCAAAGATTAATTTCTCATTTAGTAGGGCTACTAAGAGGTTAAATTCAAGTCTAATATAAGTGGAGCTATCATTTAACTGTCTACGAACTTCCTGTTCATATAGTACTTCAGTCATGAGAACCACATTACCACCCTTATCACTTTTTTAATCACCAGATATTGTGTTTCCCTCAGTTCTTTTAAGGCTTTTCTTTTTCAACAGTAAGATTATCGAGTATAGGATTATCCCAATCTAATTTGGTAAGGTCCTCCTGAACTAAATCCAGAAAGACACCTAGCCATTTGTTTTTCCCTGAACTGTGGCATATAGGTAGATTTAAATTTAAGGTTCACTGATCTTCTCCATTGTTCATCTAGTTGGGGGTCCTCACCCTCTCTAAAATCCTCATTCTCCTCTAGTAAAGAGACTAGATTTTCCAGTGCCTCCGGTTCATCAACTCCCAGATTACCACCCGTATTTTGATTTTCAGATCTCTCTAGATTAGTTAATTGTAAACATACCTTCCTCAGAAAGAGGAAATGATAATTTATAAATTTAAAAATGGTCCATCTTACATGCAGGTGAGAAACTAAGGCCCTTATTTAGACATTCTATCTGTCTGTTCTCAAGCGGGAAGTCAGAGGGGTTAATCACCTTCATATCATTAAGGGTCTCATATCGTGAACCTAGAGAAACTTATGGTTACCGACCCCTCTGACTCCGAGTGCGTGTTTGTCCTTCTTGTTTGGTATTGCTGATTTCTTTCTGATTCCCTTTTCCTTTTCCTCCTGTCACGGAGTGCCCGTGCCTTCCCCACCCCCTTTGCCTGTCCCTCAACCTGTCCCTTCACCCCTCCCTCCCCCCTTGCGGATTCCTCGCGTCCTGCCAGCCTACATCAAAGGGCTGTGCAGGGAGGGAGGAAACGCCCCCTGTGGTGCGGTTAGCACCTTTCTGGCAAAGGGCTGCCAAGGTGTCTCCACGCGCCGAGGCGTTCCCGCGCTCTACGCCCACCGGAGACAAAGGCCGCGCTCCCTCAGCACGGCCCAAGTGAGGGGTGCGTGCCTCGTTTCCCCGGCAACCTGACCCTGGGCCGGCTGTTGCCGGTCTCTCTCTCTCCCTCCTGTGCTGTCCGCCGCAGCTGTTCCGTTGGGGTGTCCGGGTGGGTACCGGGCCTCCGTAGCCATCCCCACTGAGTACTCTGCAGGAGATTCCCCCAAAGGTCAGAACCATTCCAGGCACAGACCCCGCACAGGCAAGACCCTGCTGAGCCCCTGCAAGCCTGCTGTGTCCCTACCTGCTGAAGCCCGCTGTGTCCCTATCGGCTGATCGCTGGGTCCCTGGGAAAGCTGCCCCTGTCTGCTGATTGCTGGGCCCCTGGGAATCCGCCCTGTCTGCTGATCATTGGGCCCCTGGGAAGCCGCCCTGTCTGCTGATTGCTGGGGCCCTGGGAAGCCACCCCTGTCTGCTGATTGCTGGACCCCTGGGAATCTGCCCTATCTGCTGATAGTTGGGCCCCTGGGAAGCTGCCCTGTCTGCTGATCGCTGGGGCCCTGGGAAGCCACCCTGTCTTCTGATTGCTAGGTCCCTGGGAAGCCACCCTGTCTGCTGACTGCTTTGTCCCTGGAAGCTGCCTGCTGCTGAGTGTCCGTATGTCGCCTACCTCCCTGGAAGCCGCCTGCTGCCGAGCGTCCACAAGCCACCTACCTCCCTGGAAGCCGCCTGCTGCTGAGCGCCCGCAAGTCACCTACTCCCCAGAAGCCGCCTGCTGCTGAGCGCCCGCAAGTTGCCTACCCCCTGAAAGCCGCCTGCTGCTGAGCATCTGCAAGACGCCTATTGTGAGTGTCCCTAGAAGCCATGAACTGTCCCTAGTGTGCACACAGACCACCCTTGTCATGCACTGTCCCTATTGTGCGCACAGACCACCCTTGTCATGAACTGTCCCTAGTGTGCGCACAGACTACCCTTGTCATGAACTGTCCCTAGTGTGCGCACAGACTACCCTTGTCATAAACTGTCCCTAGTGTGCGAACAGACCACCCTTGTCATGAACTGTCCCTATTGTGCGTACAGACCACCCTTGTCATGAACTGTCCCTAGTGTGCGCTCAGACCACCCTTGTCATGAGCTGCCCCTGTTGTGTGCTAAGACTACCCTTGTTACCTGGACTGCCAACTTGAATGCGTGAGCCATCGCTACCTGCTGAGTCCCCGCGAGCCTGATGTCCCTAGAAAGCTGGGTGGGAGCTGTGCTGAGGTCAGCCCCCCTGGTCAAGGTCCCGCTGAGTCCCCATGAGCCTGTTGTCCCTAGAAAGCTGTGTGGGAGCTGTGCTGAGGCCAGGCCCCACAGCCAGAGTCCCATTGAGTCCCTGTGAGCCTGATGTTGTCCCTAGTAAGCTGTGTGGGAGCTGTGTTGAGACCAGACTCCACAGCCAAGGTCCCGCTGAATCCCTGTGAGCCTGATGTTGTCCCTAGTAAGCTGTGTGGGAGCTGTGCCGAGACCAGACTCCACAGCCAAAGTCCCGTTGAGTCCCTGTGAGCCTGATGTTGTCCCTAGTAAGCTGTGTGGGAGCTGTGTTGAGACCAGACTCCACAGCCAAAGTCCCGTTGAGTCCCCGTGAGCCTGATGTTGTCCCTAGTAAGAAGTGTGGGAGCTGTGCCGAGGCCAGACTCCACAGCCAAAGTCCCGTTGAGTCCCCGTGAGCCTGATGTTGTCCCTAGCAAGCTGTGTGGGAGCTGTGCCAAGGCCCGACTCCACAGCCAAAGTCCCGTTGAGTCCCTGTGAGCCTTATGTTGTCCCTAGTAAGCTGTGTGGGAACTGTTCTGAAGCCAGACTCCACAGCCAAAGTTCCATTGAGTCCCCATGAGTCTGATGTTGTCCCTAGTAAGCTGTGTGGGAGCTGTTCTGAAGCCAGACTCCACAGCCAAAGTTCCACTGAGTCCCCATGAGTCTGATGTTGTCCCTAGTAAGCTGTGTGGGAGCTGTGTTGAGACCAGACTCCACAGCCAAAGTCCAGTTGAGTCCCCTTGAGCCTGCTGTTGTCCCTAGTAAGCTGTGTGGGAGCTGTGTTGAGACCAGACTCCACAGCCAAGGTCCCGCTGAGTCCCTGTGAGCCTGATGTTGTCCCTAGTAAGCTGTGTGGGAGCTGTGTTGAGACCAGACTCCACAGCCAAGGTCCCGTTGAGTCCCCGTGAGCCTGATGTTGTCCGTAGAAAGCTGTGTGGGGGTTGTGCTGAGCTCAGACCCCATCGCCAAGGTCCCGTTGAGTCCCCGTGAGCCCGCTTACCATGGGTGTCCCTACAGGCCGCATGTCGCGGAGTGCCATGAACTGTCCTGATTGAGTGTCTTTCATAGTTCAATAAAGCTTTGTGTGTTCCCCATCTTCTTTGTGTGTTCTGTTCTGCCTACGCTTCCATCACACCTCCTTTGGTTCCTTGAACTTGGGCTCCTTTCAAAATCCCTTTGAGCATTACTGGATCCTGTGATCCCAGGCTTCTCGTCTAAAAAACCAACTGAACATTTTTCTTCTTCCTCACTTTCAGATGAGGCAACGCCCACTTGAGATCTTGTTCGTGAGCATCGTCTCCTCCTCCTAGATCTACTTCTGCCTTTCGGGATGAGATCAAAAATTTCCCCCTTAGCCCAATCGTCCAAATCTCTCTTAAATTTGGACTGTTTGGTAGACTTAAGATTTTTTGTATTTTGTCTATTTCTTTTTTAAGTAGGTCATTAAACTTCAAAAAATCTGGTTTATCTTTATATGGTTCAATTGTCAGTTTGCTCTCATCAATCTGAATTTGAACATCGATGAGCTATAATTTTTCCTCCTCTACTATCATACGTATTCGTTCCAGCCCATGATCGTTACATAACTGCTTCCACTTCTCTAGGAACCTATCCATCTGCAAGTGGGTGGCTGGAATTACCTGCTCCCTTAAACTCCTTGGAATAATCTTATGATTAATACAAGATTCCAAAGGGAGGATATCCCACTTTCTATTCAAAGATTTTACTGTTGATTTTCTATGTTCCCTAAAAAGAGTCTTAATGATATCACCCTCTGGAGGGTCTTGTTCACTAATCTCTTGGCTAAAAGCAGCCCTAATCTCCTGCTCAATTTCATCATCAATCGTAAATGCCAATCGGAAAAACTAAGTCGTATATATGTCCAGTTTAGGAAAATACCAATCCTTTTAAAAGAATATAGTGTGAATGGAGGATCATATAAAGATATAAATAGAGTATATCTTTTATAAAGATATGGGAAAGATCCAAAGGGGTTCAAAAAATGAATAAAAGTTATTTAATAAAAGGCTAACACAAGGATATACCTCACCCAACTAAGAAGGGGATCTCAGGGTGCTAGACTAGGTCGTCGACTCACCGTACATTTTAGCGGTGGGGTCCTCCGAAGCTGGGGTCATGACAAAGAAAATGTAGTGGGGACCAAGTGAGGCCCCCTTGGAAAGAGGCTTAAAAGAGAACCATCTGTGGTGTAACCAAACTAAACAACTTTACAAGTTCAACCCTAAGCTGCCCCCATGCCCTATAGCAGCAGCACATAGGCATATGCTTTCCCAGCATATCCCAGCTAAGCATATTGTAAAAATGGCTGTCGGTAACCCTGCCTTTTTATAGCGAGGGGCCTGTACATATCAAAGTCTCTGTTTTTTGCCATTCTAAGCCACCAGACCTAGGTTCACAGTTCTGGAAGTGCATTATTTGAAGTTGGTTGCTATGATGGAGAACACCTACATTAGTTTGCAAATGAATGGGTTCACCATAAACACATGCTCCACCTGAACCTGAAGCTATTAATCCTAGCATGTGCTACTGAACTTTGTAAAACATTTTTGTTCAGCAAAGCAACATTTGCATGACAAAGAAAAACATTTTAAAAAATGTTATTTTTTAGTCCAGACCAATGGCCATAATAAGGAAAGACAATATAGACATTTTCCTGCATGTTATTATGGTACTTGACACATTTATGTGCTCTGTAACTTATCCAGCAACTTTAAAAAGCAAAAGGAGTGTTTTTTGCATGTCTGTAGCTTGTCCTGTATATAATATTCTTGTTATGCAATGACACAACTAAACTGTCATAATATGCAGAGGTAACCAGTAAAAGAAAACAGACCTCCAAAGTTGATGTGAATGCACTGTCCTCTCCACTCCTCTCACTTCTCCTATGTTTATATTTTTTTAATTTATCCAAAAGACCAAGAACCCTTACTTTTATCTGTGCTTGATAGCATCCCCATGGTGGTCAGATTGTTGCAATGAGTAAAAGTACACTAGCCTCATTTATCAAGCTGTCTGCAGGAACATAAATGTCTGATGGTTTAGACCTTGTTTAATACCTATAGCAATCAGATACAAATTTTCTATCTCTGACTATCATTTTGCTATGCAGACTGGAATCTAATGTATTTTTTCGTTCAGTACATGCAGTTTTTAAGACACTGGAAAATTAATTTTATGTATTTGCACACAACAAATAACCAGATACTAACTCTGCAATATTCCAGAATGAAAGGGAAAATCTAATTGGTTGTCTGTAGTCCAAAGGTCAACCAGGTCAGGTTGACCAATATTCAAGCCGTAAATGATGACGTACATCAGTTGTACCAGTACTATTATTTATTTATTACAGGTACTTATATAGCGCCGTCAATTTACGCAGCGCTTTACATTTATATAATAATAAACAATAAACCTATACATTGTAGTATTTATTTATTTTATTAGGAAGTAACATCTCATACTTTCTGTAATGTTGATTACTGTTTACCTATACTGCACAACTTTCTTACAGCATTTATCAAATAAAAGAGTATTGCCAGGACAGCCAGTGAAATTCCAAGTTTAATTTTCCTATTTTAGGTTAAAGAATGAAAGCTCATACCATAATTTTATTTAAAGGATAAGTTCACCTTTTTACAAAAAAATATAAATGCACATTTTTTTGCAGGTAAAAAATGTGCATTTATTATTTTTTTGTTTCTGGAGCCTCTAAAGCATTGCACCAGTGATCAGCAGATCACAGGTGCCATGCAGGTCTCTTGTAGACCTGTCAGTATATCTGCTTGCTTGTACGGGATGTACGGGCAAGCAGATATACTGACAGGAAGAATCAATGAACTACCACGTTTGTTCGTAGAACACCTTGAATGACATGGTCGGGCATTATTCATTAAATGTGACAGCTAGAGGGGAGAAGAAGATCCCCTGCTAGCTGTCACAATGGGGAGCAAGGGTCGGTCTGTTGGCAACATGTTACATGTTACACCTTGAAAGGTGAATGGAAATGAATGAAGACCCTAACAATAAATGTGTTCCCATTTTGTTTGTTTATTATGTGATTGAAAGCATTTTGTGCAATCTATTTGATAAGTGCAAAATCATGTTGATCCTGTCAGAAATCCAGTAAGCATGTAACTTTTTGTTCACTCTCCCCTGTACTTAAACCTGTACTGTTGTCTCCCCTGTACTTAAATTCCCAGCAGTTTTATCAGTCCTGCCCAATTCAGCTCTGTGAACTAGAACAAACAAAGATCCATAGTCCTAACACACGTCCTAACACGCTTTCTGCCCTTGGGTGACAATGCTGCCCCCCCTATCAGAATCAGAACATTTTTTGGTCATTTTACAATAACAATCATAAAATGAAACACAGTTGTAGCTCCCTCACATTAAAAAAAGGAATTCCACGCTCAATATATAAACACAACCACAAAACTACATAAATACATAATGAAAACATAACTCCCAATCCTTTAATTCCACACGAACCACTAGCCTACTGGGCACTTATACCCTCTTCCTGACCAGGCCAATTTTCAGCTTTCAGTGCTGTCGCACTTTGAATAACAATTGCACGGTCATGCAACACTGTACCCACATGAAATTTTTATTATTATTTTTGAGACAGATAGAGCTTTCTTTTGGTGGTATTTAATCACCTCTGGGATTTTTATTTTTTGCTAAAGAAACCAAAAACTTTGAAAAAAAAGTTTTTTCTTAGTTTTTGTTTTAAGTTTTGTAAATAAGTGATTTTACTCCCTTCACTGATATGCGCTAATGAGGCTGCAGTAATGGGCACTGATAGGTGGCACTGATGGGCACTGATGGGCACTGATAGGTGGTATTGATGGGCACTGATGAGGAGGCACTGGTAGGTGGCACTGATGGGCATTGACAGGCATCACTGATGGGCACTGAAAGGCAGCACTCATATATGGCACTGATAGGCAGCACTGATAGGTGGCACTGATAGGCGGTACTGACTGGCACTGATAGGTGGCACTGACTGGCACTGTTAGGAGGCACTGATAGGCAGCACTGATGCGCACTGATAGGCAGCACTGACTGGCACTGATAGGCGGCACTGACTGGCACTGATAGGCGGCACTGACTGGCACTGATAGGTGACACTGAATGGCAGCTCAGATGAACACTGATATTTGGCATTGATGTGCACTGGTATCCACTGATATGTGGCATTGATGTGGCACTGATGGGCACTGGCAGGTGGCATTGATGGACACTGACAGGTGGCACTGCTGGGGCTACACTGATCATCAGGGCACACTGATCATCAGTGCCCTGATGATCAGTGTACATGTCCCCTCCGAGGAATGCTGATTACCGGCTCTCCTCTCCTCTCGAGCTGTCAACGTGGCAGCTCGTGAGGAGAGAAATGCTGATAACCGGCATTTCCCTATTAACATGAGATCAGCTGTGATTGGACACAGCTGATCACATGACCGAGCCAAAATCTTCGAGGGACACAGCACACCACCGATCGCTCCCGGAGCCGCGCATGCGCAGTTAGAATGGGAGGACGTCCTATGACGTCCTCCCTGAATGAGAGAACCACCTTGCGCCCGTCATTGCCTTATATGGCAGGCGGGAGGTGGTTAAGAACCGCACAGATCGAGGGAACCTGGTGGTATGAGAGCCAATACTTCTATATCGCCTGCCAGATTGTAGCAATGTATGCAGACCATTACCAGAATGTGAAGTATATGCTGTATATTATTCACTCTCTGAAGACACCTCCCCTCCCCCAGTTCATCAATACTTGGTAGATTAACAATAGTCTTCTGTGCAGTTTTTTATCACCCTCTGCAAGGCATTTTTGTCATGGACTGTGCATGATCCTTACCACAAAGAAATGTGATATGTTAACACAGTTTCAATGGCAGCTTTGTAGAAGCTAAAATGGACCTGCTCTGAAAAGCCTGCCCTAACAGTACAGTACAGTGAGTGAGCACTTTCTCTGTAGGACAGGAAGTTAGCTACATATAGGATCACCAGGTAAAAAAAAGAAGAAAGTCAAAAAAATAAAACTAATACAACCACTGCATCTAAGGACTTGTAATATGCAATATATTAAATGTTTATTCATGGGTTAAAGTGAATGTTTTTTTAACCCATTAGTGACTGAG